AGTAGCGACTATGTACAAAAAAACTTCAAACAAGATTTTTGAATCTCATAGACTCACCCTTTGTACTGTTATTCAACATAAACACAGACTTGCCTCAGACTTTGTGATAGTGATTGTTACCGAAGGTGTTCGAATGTTCACTTTCTTCGTAAGAAAAAAATCATTCATTTAATCTTTCTTTATAATATGGAGAGCTGTTTTTCAAGGTACACTAACAATCATTATCATCTTCAAAAAATCTTATATGATAAACAATTATTCGAAATTGATGCAAAGAAATTTTATTAAGAAAAAAACACACGATGCGACCGAGACATAGTCTTTTAAGAATTTCTTCGATGATTTTTTTTTTACAATCATCAAAGGTAATTTTTCTTCAATTTTTGTTCAATGAAGCTCTTAGTAAATGAAAACTAGAAAATTCTTTTCCCCATATTTTTATCCCATCAATTCTCCATAAATTTGCAACAAGTCATACATCACTGAATTTTTTATTACAATCTTGAATTAAAATTTGAGCATTAAATAATTCATTGATAAATTGTAAGACAATATTTGTCCTTTGATTAAATTCTTTATGTTTTATGCTCATTTATTTTCGTTAATTTTAAATGATTTGTTTAGCAAATAATTAATTTCACTGATCATGTTACTAAACGTTTCATTGTAGATCCCAAATAAGCGATTACGACAACTAATTAGATGGCATTTGAATTTCAGTTGATTATGAAATATGATGAGAAGTTGCGAATGTTCGTTATCAAAAAAAAATCAATATCTCATAGAAAAAAAATGAAAAATCATTTTTGGTAATTTATCATGAATTACTTTTTTCTTAACGATATCAATGTTTTACTGATATGAAACTTTTTGTTCTCGCTGATAATCGTAAAATTTAGGTTTCGACCAATCACCTGATCGAAGTCTAAAAGAAATTGTAAAATAGTCTTTTTAAAATTCATTACCAAGAGAATTTTCGTGAAAATTATTAATAGAACGTGGCTGTGAATAATCTTTTGTACCACGTTCATACTCTGCAATATTTTAATAATTTACACATATAAATGAAAATTCTTCCAGTTTTAGTTGCTACATGGATAGAAATAAAATAAGATTATAATAATTCAGCACGATAACGTATGTACGCCTAGAATCAAGTCGTTTATATCTTCCTGTTACGGTGAATATGGTTTAGTATTAGTTTGAAGTCGTGAAAAATGAAAATAAGTAGATTTAAGCGTATGTTGCTTTTCGATTTGTTTGATAACATTTTGATTCACATAAACGATTTTGTAGCAAATTCATTGTGGGTCGTTCACAACATTATCTTACTTGATAATGATTCTGCATTCATAAGTTAAATATTGCTCTAATAGAACTTGTTACGACACTCGTATACTGTTGACTGTTTTTTCTTTATTTTCGAAAACAATTAATATTCAAAACATACAAAATAAATCTTCTATTTAAAATACAACTAGATAGAATGAGTTTCTATTATCGATCGATATTAATTCTAGCTGGAATGCATGGAGATCTATGATGTAGTCACGAGACAAAATCATTCATGACCATACTTTTATTAAACTCATAAAGAATTCAATTTTTTTCATTATTTTCACGAAAAAATCTCGGTTCACCGTATTATTTTAGTCTTTCGTAATATTATGATAAATCGACTAAAGGTAAGCACTTTTGAAGATATGAATCCTTAAATAAGATTGTTTGAAGACAGAAGAATACTTCTGTCGTTCAGCTACCTTGCGCTATGAAGTACTGCTTAGCCACAGATTCAATAGTTTCATATCTTCCCTACAACTAATACTAGCTGTAACTTTGAACAGAAGGTCGATCTGACATAAAGTTCTTGCGCTACGCATACATGACAACTAACTACAAGAGCAGGTATATGTCATATAGTAATAAGCATGCTATTAGATGAAATGATCCGAGACAAATAAGCATTAGTGACTTGTCCAAGGTTATTCAATGGTTGGTGGTACTAAGGTTTTGCACACAATATCTTGTGGATACATGACGAACAACAGAATCATTCAATCATGGCTGCTAAAGCTCGTTTTGGAGTGAGCAACATTAAGTAGTGTTTATTAAACTTGAAAATTTCCTTTGCCAGGCTAAAAATTCATGATCAGATGCAGAACTCTGAAAACTTAAGCTGCTATGAGGTCACTTTCTTCTGGCTTAGTCTGGCCTACAAGGTAAATCAAGTTGATTGGTATTTTTCGGTTTTTCGAATACATCTAATACTATAAATCTACATAATTGTGCCTTTCTACTTTCCATTGTTCACTTAATTTATTTCCATAAAGGTAAGATAATAACAAGTTTTTATACGAAGTAACAAATTTGAACAAAGAGATAAACATCCTTTGAGTTAACACAACTTTTTTTATATCATACTAGTCCTGCGTTGCATAATCAAAAAAGAAATCTTATCATGAAAGCAAAAATAAGATGTGATCAAGTATACGATAAAGAAATAAAAGCAAATGTAGAGAATAAGTAATACTAATAATAACAGGCAAAGACATTTACAATTGACAATCAAATTTCGCAACCGTACGAATGTAAAATTGAATATCCAGTTGTTTTGAATCTGAACAAATGTTTCTGTCAATCAATATAAGTTCTACAAGACTAAAATGGCATTTGGCTCAAGCATTTGTTACTGAAATTGAATGAACTTGTCAAAATACTTTCAAATGAAATCAAAATTTCGTTTCTAAAACGTAAGATTCATGCTCACAACATCAATTATCTTATAATTTGAGTCTTTCACATGTCTAAGACATTTTCTCGTAAGAATCTATTTTAGTCAGTCATATTACGTTGGTCTATAAATTGATCGTATCTTTGCTTTTTCTGTCAAAAAAAAATTAGATCCTAATTTTGATAGAATTTTTCAAAAAAGTTTTTTTTAATTGTTTCACTTTGAATAGTTGCAATAAAATTCAAGTCAAAAATAATTTCATCACTTTTCATCAATAGACAAGAGAGCTATACATAAAAATATAGCACGCAAAAATTTAATTCATTTCAAATCTTTTCTCAATATAATTTTTCTTCTATTTTGATGGACATGTTACATATGAAGTTGACACATTGAAAAAACGTATCTGCCAATATGACAACTACTACTAATATAATCCGCTTAGTTCTTTTCATTTTTTTTTTATCATAAGTATCTCGATTATTATGCAAAACATTCCTGGATTTCTCATCATTCAAAATCTTTTAGACATCTTGTCATTGTAACTGCAATGTTATTGATAACAATAATGCATCGTAGAGTCAACAGTATCAGTTATCTATTATTGACAATAGATGAACAAATATTTCGTTCAATCGAAATATTCGAAGAAGCATAGTAAGAAACATATTTTCTACTAACTCAAATCGGCGTTTTTAACTTTGTTCATACTAATAAAATATACTTGTACATTATTTGTTTCGTAAGCAGAATGTATCAAAATGTAAATTACAATGACGACATTATATATAGAATCTACTAATAACAAAAGGAAATAAATATATATATATATAGAGAGAATCAAAAAAACTATAAGAGAAACACACAAGTTTTGTCCTTTTTTCCTTATATAACTTCAAGAAAAATTGAAGAATAAAAGAAAGAAAGTAATGTATCCTGAAAAAAACAAGTCAAATAAAATTGACTATTTTTACGTTAGAAAAAAAAAATGCGTATAATCATCTTGAAAATAAGGTCTTTGTTTTTTATTTAAGAAAATTATATTACTTACATATAGCTGTTCTATGCCAAATGTCAAACAACATGTAGATCGAAAGTACCATATGTTGCATATACATTGTTTCTGCTCGGTACATCTGTCATTAGAAACATTGACTCAGATAAACCTATCGTTTGAATGAGATATCAATGAAAGAACTATTATCTTATGCCAATGAAATGTCACATATTTTTACATTATATTGCTATGCTCTTCAATACATATGAAATATATTCGAATCTATTTAAATAGATGATATATAGTATTATTTATCTGAATTATACATTTAGATTTCTGTATTCTTTATTTTTATTAATGTATCTATAAACTTATACAACAAATATTACTTATCGGTCAAATAAATTTCATTTTTTTTTTCTTTTCAGTCTATTTGTCATATAATTAACAATTCTATATTCTATTATACGACACATCCGAATAAAGTCTTTGTTTTTTTTTTTTTTTTTTTTTTTTCTCAATACGTAATCATCACTATTTTTACCCATCTTGTTTTTATACATCATAGAACAACTGAAGAAAAAAAGAAAAAAAAAAAAAGAAAACAAACACAACACAATATGAGTAAAACTGATGAAGGCAAAAAAAAAGAAAGCGAGAAGATGCGAATCATATAGACGGAAGAAAAACAAAAAAAAGAAGAAAAGAAAATAGTTAGCAACAAACACAAAAGAAAATCTATATACAAACAATATGACAAAAAAAAACACGATAGCGAAATAAAGACAACAATAAATACATTTACACACTACAAAACAACGATGTAGAAAGGGGAAAAGGTTAAACATTATGAAGCATCGATAGGCACAAAATTTTTGGAAAAAAGAAAAAAAAAACAAGCAAATAATAGAGCAATGTGCCCCTTGTAGAATATGAATACAAGAACCAAAAAAGAAAAAAAAACATTTTTTTTTTCGCTTCTTTTATAATAATACGAACTTTTTTTAAAAGTCAACTTTTTCTTAACTAACCACAAAAGAAAAAAAAAAGGAAACAAACTATATACATTGTATATAGGAACTAAGGCAACACGAAAAGCAGAGTGAAAAGAAAATGATGCTACTGTTATGCATGTGCGTGTGTCGAATAAAGAGAAGAAATGGATTATCTGACATTGTCTGTCGGAAATGAAAAAAAAAATCAAAAACAAACAACAACATATATTTATATATATATATTTATATATCTCATATATTGCACAACGAGAACTTTTTATTCATCAACTTGTTCATCGTCACCATGTGCTAAACTAGAAAAAAAAAACAAAATTATTAAAATATGCATTTAAGAAACAAAAAAAAAAAAACAAAGTGTATGTAAAGATTAATTGTTTCCTTTTTTCCCCTTCACGAGCAAAAACAAAAAACGTAACGAACTAACCCTTTCTTCGATTTTTCTTTATCTCTTTTAATGATACATTTCTAAATATATTTGAGATATTTCTATAAGAAAAAACTATAATAGAATTAAATAGAACTCAAATACCTCATATCATTTTGTCCATCATCATCATCAGTTTGATCATATTGACTATGATTCATATCAGTAGATTGATCATGATGATCACCACCATTTCCATTTACACTAGCAGAATTATCTCCATCATCTTCATCATCATCAACTTCATCACCATTTCCACCATGAGAATGATTACCACTTAATGCTAATTCATGATTTAATAAACCCTATATAAATAATAAAACATATATATCTATATGAATAAATATTAAAAATTTTACTTTAAAATCTTTATAATCATCTTCCATACCAAATGGATAAGAATAAAGTGCTTGATCATCACCAGTTGATAAACGAGTAGATGTAGTATGTCTTTAAATATAATTTTTATATAAAAAAAAAGTTCTAGAATTATTCATCTTCATACCCATATGATGATGATTCATTATGATTATTTCCTTTTTCAGCACTACGTGTTAAACGTCTTTTACAAAATTCATTTTCATCTACAGTCCATACGGCACCTTTTATATTTTCTACACGCATAAAACATTTATGTAATGAAAGATTATGTCGTACAGCATTCTATAGAAAGTTCAATTTAAAACAATAAATAAAAAAAAAACAAAACTTTGTACACAAACCTTCCAAGTTTGTGCATTCTTTCGAAAATATAGAAATTGTCCTTCAAACCATTTATATACTTCATTTAATGTTAATTGATTATCTGGAGATTCAATAATAGCCTTAAAATATTAAATAATTTAAATAAAAAAAATTATTTATTATTCTATTTACTTGACGAATTAATGTTGCATAAGTAAATGGTGGACGTACATCATGTGTCATATAATATTCGCGATTTTTTAATTCTACAAAATATAATAAAAAAAAAAATTTTTTCATTCAAAATTTTATACTGTTAAACAATCTGAAAAATAAAAGAAAAAAAAACCTTTGCCTTTTCCTGCTTTTTTACCACCAAGTGCTAACATTGTTTTTGATTTTCGATTTAAACGATGTTTATCCATATTAATTATAGGTAAAATATTTCCATTATGACCTGTTTGTGTTGATATATCACCATTAATATCATCCATATTATCATCATCATCATCATCTTGTGTATCATCTCCAACTTCTTCTTCAACTGTATGAACAGGTGGTGGTGAACTTGATGCACTTGCACGTAATATAGTTGATGTTGTTGTACTAGCAGCTGATGATAGATCATGTGGTGTTGTACGATTATATGAATCAATTGAATTTGTTGTTGTTACAACACCAGTTGATGTTAAAAATGCATTTTCTAATTTAACAATTGGTAAATGATGAAGTGCTGTTGATGATGTATTATTTATTGATGATGATGATGATGCTGGTGATGATAATGATGTTAATTGTGTTGTACGTGCATTTGTTGTTAATGTATGATGATATGGTGTTGTTGATGTTGTTAATGTACGTGTTGTTGGTTGATTAATAATATGTGTTGTTGTTGTTGTATTTGAATTTGATGATGTTGCACCATTTGTATTTATTATTGAACCACCATGTAAATGTTTCATCATAGCTTGTAGAATTTCACGTTCACGTGTTAATAATGATTCAAGTTGTTGTACAACATGTTGTTGTACACGTGCTTGTGCAACTGAACGATCATCAAGTGAATGTTCATCATTAAGATGTCGATTAAAATCAATTAATGATGAACATAATGTATCACAACTTGGCCAACGACAATAATTTCTTTGATATAAAGGATTTAATGAATCTTGTTGTTGATTTGAAAGTGTTGATGAACGATTTATAGTTGTTGTTGGCATAGTTATTCGTGTTTCAGTACTATTATTATTTCCGATAATATTTACACCTATTAAAAAAAAAACAAACAAACAAGGAATGTTTTTTTTTTGTGTACGTAATTTGTTAGAAAATAAATTAAGCACACAAACGTGCAGATAAAAGCATAGAATAAAAAAAAATAGACGCAAACACGCAGAAAATTAAAGAGGTAATCATTCAATTAGACGGTTTTTTTTATGCGGATTTCTTTTTTTTTTGTGTGTATGACGAACCAGTGTTTGTAGTTCGACCTGTTGTTAATAAATCGGTGATATTAATACATGTTGGTTGTTGTTGATGATAAGGACGTGTAGCAATTGAAATTACTGATGGAGAGTCTGTGGATATTTATATATATATAGATGAAGGTTGTTTTTATAGCGAATTAATGTTTTATAGGAATGAAATATATAAAAGAAGAAAATTTTCTTACCACTAGTAGACGAATTATTAGGTGTTGTTGTTAAATATTGAAGAGTAGCTGTTGTTGGTTGATTAATATTATTGGAATTTGTAATACTAAATAGACTTGGAATTTGTTGTTGTTGTTGTTGTTGTTTTGATGAAACTTGTTGAAGAAGTAATTGTTGATTAGCAAGTTGATTCTATGAAGAAGAAAAAAAAAAATAATAATAATAAAACTTTTTCGTTCGTTAAATTTTTACTTGAATTTGTTTAATAATGTCTGAATTTGTTGCTGTTGTTGTTTGGGATGTAGGTGTTGGTTGAACAAGATTAAGTTGAATTTGTTCACTTAATTGTTGATTAATTTTTTCTACAAGAAGACGTTGCTAAATAAAAAAGACAATAGAATTATTATATATTATCTATTAATATCAAAATATATGATGTTATCACACTTTTCTTTTAATACTAATTTTTTTATTATAATTGTTACAGATGCCATAGTATGCATGAAATAGCATAAACACACACACACATACAAGATGGTGCTGTTGTTGTTGATGTTATTTTTTGTTGGTTGGTTATGTTTCTTTTTTTTTTTCTCTTCTCTCGCTTGCTTTTTTTTTTTTTTTTACTCTGTTATTAATTTTCTTTCCTTCTCTTCTCTATCGTTCTTATTCTGTATACGTATGTGTGTGTGTGTGTGTGATGTGTTGTTTTTTGGCCGTCCTCACAAGCGAACACTACACAATCTAGCGCGTCCCGCTCGATGTTTGTCGTTCGTCGAACGACCCGTCAAAGAAATAGACATACAAAAAGGGAGAGAGAGAGAGAGAAATGAGAAATCAAACTTTAATGTTCATTGCATGTGTACGAAAAAAAACATATAGTAGGTTTCATAGACATTTGCCTACCTGATAATAATATAAAAAAAAAAAAAAAAAAAAAAACGAAGAGAAAAAGATGGTCAATATATATGTTGACCTGTTGCATCATATGATCAAATATACCTGTTCGGGACTTGTTAATATCTGTTGAATGAGCATATTTTGTATTGCATTTGAAGATGGTTGTAAATATTGAAGCATTGTTGATGTAGTGACAGGTTGATGTTGTTGTGGTGAAACGACTGTTGATAAATAATCACCTGAATCAATTAAACGTAGTGTACCCTAGATAGAAAAAAAAAAAGTAATCATACAATAAGAATAACTATTAATATCTCATCAATCAATTCAAATCATACATTATTTGATGATGTTGGTGAAACTATAGTTGTACCATTTTGTAAATGTCCAGTTTGTTCATTTAATATCGTTGTTGTTGATGCTTTTGTACGTGTTGCTGTTTGAAGTTTTGATGTTCGATTTGTTGTAACTCTCATTCTATATTGAGAAGAAAAAGAAGAAAAAAAAATTCATCCAATGCTAATCTAGAAACAAAAAAAAAAAGAAAATAAAAATAAAAATAAAAACAATATCGGTGACGAGTTCAACCATGCTTTTAGCTTGAGCGAGAGACGTTTTTTTCTTTTTTCTTCGTATTGAAGCCTATTATTATTTTTCTTTTCCTTCCTCTTTAGAGTCACACATAGACATATACACAAACTCAAGGCGCGTTCAATGAAGAGACAGACAGATGGCTGTTTTTCCGACTAATCTTTCTATGTTAGATCGATAATGACTGCTTGTTTGTCCGTTCTTTAGGTTTTTTTTTACCTCTTCTTTTTTTTTTTTTTT